TATTATTGGGGCTGCATAATCGATAACGAATTAACACCGCATTTAGGCAGCATTAATATCTATTATAATTATATTATAGTTATATTATTATTATTAATTATTATTATTATTATTATTATTATTATTATTATTAATTATTATAACTAGAATTTTTGAAAGGCTGAAACATACTTTCTGTTAATCAAGGTACTTGAAAAAATTATTTTTTTAAAAATATACTATCAGCATTAAAATAAACAAATAGAAAGTAAATTTAATATTTCTGAGGAAATTGATTTTATATTCCAAAGAAGTTTAAGAGCAATTCTGAGAAAGATTAAAGAAAATGAAAATAATCAAAAGCGTTTAAGAAATATGCAAATTTGCATTTATATATACATATATATCTATCTTAAAAGGTAAAGGGTATCTTACTTGGATATCAAATTTTAAAACAAAGAAGAAGTATTATTATTTTTAAGAAAAGTTTTACTTTTTACGTTTCGTTCAAATTTACTAATTTTGCTCTTCATGATTTCTTTTCACATAATCATTGTATAGTCAATTTTTTATTTTCAATTACATTAACTCACCTGTCGGAACGAACCAGAAATCGACGATTGAGATTTATTAATTGGTACTTAGGGCCGATCGTAGATCGAGAGCTTTTTCGTTTCGTATTATTCATTTTTAAGTACATCAAGAAATCCATAAATCAAATCGTTTTACAATACGCATGAATTTATAAGTATAATCGTAATGAGTCAAATGTTTTTTAGAACTATATATATATATATATATATTAAAATTCTTAAACTTTTCAAAGGAATTACTTTAATTCCTCTAGTTGTATTTTTAAGTAGAAAAACAATATTCTAATGAATTTCTTGATGTATTCAAAATTGAATTTTCGAAGATCATAAAATAAAATTGAAGAAAAAAAGGAGAGAAAACAATAATGTTTTTGTATGTGCATTTTTTACATGTGCATTTCTTGTGCATTAGAAAAGGAAACGCATTTTTAACCTCTTTTTGCTAAGATTTAAGCAACGAAAGTGAAATTTAAAGTAAGATTTAAACGTTTACAGAAAAAGTTATATTTCTTAAATGAGGTTTTCGAGAAAGCATCATTCATTAATCATTATTTAAATCAAATCAAATTGCACAGGGTAAATGGTAAAATCCATTTTTGTGCTTATTACCTTGAAATGTTAATCACTGTTTGATCAAGTAAGTATACCCAAAGATGTTTACAACTTCGAACTAAAGACAAAAGGAGGTTAATGGGCGATCATATGTATTACTCATACATATGTATACATATACAGAGTATTTTATAAAGTATGGGGCATTTGGCAAACAATTTTTTGTGCCAAAAATATTTTTCTCAAAGATTTAGGATTATTTCATTCTCTCATGAAAAATCAAAATTGATTGTATGGATTAAAAATTTTCACGTACATACACATCAAAGGTATGTACTTTTTTTTATGATAAAGATACCTAATGTGAAACATGTACTACCAATATTAGAAGATTAGAAGAAACTAAGTAACTTTATAACTATTGAATTTGTAGGAATAAAAGAACTTTTTATACATTTTTTGGTACAAAAAATATTGTTTCCTGGGTGTAACATGCTTTATTGTACACTCTTTATATTTATACATATACACACACACCCACACACATATGCACACACACCCACACACATATGCACACACACCCACACACATATGCACACACACCCACACACATATGCACACAC